GTCAACTGCAGTGCAAGTCCCAGACCTGGTGGCTTGAAACTCATGCCAGGCACATGTGCATGCATGCCCAAAATTCCGAGAGGAGACTGGAGGAGAAAGGATTGCGATATGGCCATCCCTCCTGGGGGAGATTTCTCACTTTCTGTGTCTGTCTCTCTGGCAAGTACACATACCCTATAGCAAAAATCTACCACCCCTCCCCCCAAAAAAGAAAGTGAAGTCATTCCCTGTTAGATGAGAAAGTGGGGAGGATGGGGTTTCTAGCTTGATTTACTCATCACCTCTCCTCTTTCTTTTATTCCTTCTTTTTTCTTTTCATAGTTTGCTGTAGAGCATGTAAGCTCACCTGGGAGAGAAGAGAATATATCAGAGTGAGAAATCACCTTTCCATGAGGATGGCCATGCCACAATCCTCTCTCCTCCATTTTCCTCTTGGGATTTTAGACACACATGCACACACATTTCACGTATTTTCCAAGTTGCTGAGTCCAGGACTCGAACTGCACAGTTGGCCATGTAGAATGCAGCTTCCTTAACCACCACACCACCTGCTGGCTCTTCACGTTTCCTCTTACCTTACACTTGACCTACTTTATTCACTTTGTCTACATGGTCATTATAGGGACTTTAGCTTTTCCTGTATGAAAAAAGAAGCTTAGGTTCAGAAAGGTTCATTGTCTCCTATAAGATTTCACGGCCAAGACTCATTTGAGCAAGATTAGTCAGGAGGGTGTCCAGCATAAGGTAGGCACTCAAATTTTTTGTAATTAGTGTATTGGCTGGAAAAATATGGAGTCCTTATGCACATAGGCTTTCTAAATTCAAGCTACTAAAACTCTCTGCTTCAGTTTTTTTAATCGGCATACTGAGTTTATAGTAATAGTATGTATGAGGAACTTTTTGGTTGTAAGAATAGAAATTGATAAAATTGCTCTTGTAAAATACTTAATGTCTCACACATAGTAAATTTTCAACATATGACAATTATCTTTTTTTTTTTTGAGAGGTTTTTGCTATAGGATGCATGTGCTCTCCAGAGAGAGAGAGAGAGAAACTGAGAGACAGAAAGCAAGACATCACCCCCCCAGGGTGGATGGCCACACCACAATCGCTTCTCCTCCATTCTCCTCTCGGGATCTTAGACATGCATGCACATGCGCCCAGCATGAGTTTAAACCACCGGGTCCAGGACTTGAACTGTGGTCTACTACATGGGAGTCCAGTGACATAGCCATTATGCCAACTTCTGGTCCCGACAATTATCTTTTTAGAGGATGCTAAAGAATTTTCAGTTGGTAATTCATTCATCAACTCAAAACATTTATATAGACTGCTCGCTATGAACCAGGCATGTTTCTGAAGTTTTTTGGAGTATAGCAATGAAACAGGAGTTCCTTTATCTTATTGAGCTTGTGTACTAGATGGGAAGATATAAGAATGAGAAAAAAATTGGAGATTATGACAAGGACTCTGGAGTAAGAAACTATTATGATAATAATTAAGACTTAACTTGGAACATAGCTTAAGTAGGGGCCAAGACAGGCTTCTGGAAGAGGGTCTTGGCACTAGGACCCAATGATGAGAAGGACCCTATTATGTAAGGAGGAAGCTCATTGCATCCTGGGTAGCTAGAATAGCAAACCAGCCCTGGGACAGGAAACACTTGGCTTGCTTGAATCAGAAGGCCTGTGAGTTGTAGGCAGGGATTGGATTAGTGGCTCCAGATGAAGTCACAAAGAAGAGAATGACCAGATGTTTGTAGGCTATGGCAGGAAGTTTGGATTTTATCCTAAAGATATTGACCAACTTCAGCCTATTTCTGTTTTTTTTGGTTGTTTTTTTATAACATGACATTGACTTCATAGCATTGGGGAGCCTCTCTGAGTCTTGAAAATTCTTGTAGGGCTTCAAGGCTACGTGGATGCCTGGAAACATTGAGCTTCACCATTTGGACTCCAAGTGCCGTCTGCGATTGGCAGTGTCAGCATCTTTTGATAGTCTAATAGAAATGCATGCTCAGGCCAGCATGTAGCCTGGGGGTTAAGGCAGCTGGATCTCACATGGCTGACTGTGTGGGGCAAGTTTCATCCCTGGTGGTTTGAAAAACACACTGAATGCATGTGCGTATGTTTGTGCATGCCCAAGATCCTGAAAAAGAGGGAAAATGGAGAAGGATTGCAGCATGACTGTGTCCTATGGGGATGCTTCTCTCTCTCTTCCCCTCACTCTGGCGAGTGTATGTGCCCTCTGGCAAGAAAAAAGAAAACGTACTTTCAGGCCCCAGTGTAGACCAGTCTGAGGGACTAACACTCAGGAATCCGTACTTTAAATGTCTGCAGGGACCAACAGATGATGTGATGGTTACGTAACTGGACTCTCACATAGTTGACTGTGGTGCAAGGCCCAGACCCAGTGGCATGTGTATGCGTGCCCAAAATCCTGAGAGGAGAATGGAGGAGAAGGGATTATGGCATGGCCATCCCCCCAGTGGGCAATTTTTAGCTTTCTGTCTCTCTCTCCATCTCTCCGGCGAGCATACATGCCCTATAGCAAAGATTTCTCTGCTAAAAAAAGAGTATCTCCAGGTGATGCTTTAGCACCCTCAAGGTGGAGAAGCATTAATTTAGAATACATGTGGACAGGTTCCCACAGAAGTTGGAGCTGCACTCTTCGGAGAGAAAAGGAAGCCTTTGATGGGCACTCGGGGGATGGTGTCGGCCACGAGGGGGCCAGCTCACCAGAGTTGGGTGCTAGTGCCAGGGCGAGAATTCTCATCACTTGCAAAACTCTCTTCCCACATCACATCTTTGGTGTTGGGGTTCTGTTTGGCATAAGTATGATTCATAGTAAAAACAAAACAAAACTCTCTTTAATTAGGAGACTTAAAGGAGAAACTACTAGCTTCAGTTATTTAGAACAAATATGCTTTATCAGAATGGAAAAGAAACTTGAGGACCAGCAGTTGGCGTAATGGCTATGTTGCTGGACTCCCATGTAGTCAACCACGGTTCGAGTCCTGGACCTGGTGGCTTAAACTCAGGCTGGGCGCGTGTGCATGCATGCCCAAGATCCCAAGAGGAGAATGGGGGAGAAAAGATTGTGACATGGCCATCTCCTCTGGGGGGTGATTTCTTGCGTTCTGTCTCTCTGTCTCTCTCTGTTTTTCTGGTAAGCACATGCACCCTAAGCAAAACACTTTCAAAATAAAAGAGAAGAAGCTGGCTCAGTGTACTCTGATCCCAGACACTTGAAGGAGGTAAGGCAGGAGAATCATGGGTTTGAGGCCAGCCTGGACAATTTTAGGAGGCTCTCAAAGACACAGAAGGGAGGGGGCCCAGTAGGTGACGTGGTTATGGCCCTAAGCTCCCACATAGCTACTATGGTTCTCTTCCTGGATCGGCAACTTGAAACTCACGCTGAGTTGAATGTACATGCATGCGCAAAATCCTGAAAGGAGAATGGAGGAGAAGGAATTGTGGCATGGCCATTCCCCCTGTGGGGCAGTTCCTCACCCTTTCTGTCTGCCTCTCTGTGTCTCTAGTAAGTGTATGTGCACTATAGCAAAAAATCTAAAAACATGTAAAAAATAAAGGAGTAAAGAAGAGAGAAGGAAGGAAGGAAGGAAGGAAGGAAGGAAGGAAGGAAGGAAGGAAGGAAGGAAAAAAGAGAGGTTTAGAGGTGGAAGGGACTTGGAGAGCATTGTTAATGCTGCTCTGACCTTTTAGGTGAATAGGCTGAAATTCTGAAATGTTAAGTAGCTCTCTTGGGCCCACACCATTTATTAAAGATAGTACTAAGTTAGAATTCAGGTTTTTCAACTGTTTGTCTTGTTTTGATGGAAATATGGGTCGAATGTCTCTCTCTCTCTCACTTTATCTTATTTATTTCATTTTGTGGCTAGACAGTGCATGCACTTACTAGAGAGGGACAGAGTGGGGATAGAGGAGAAGGCGCGTCGTTTATGGAATATGGTCACATCACAATCCCCTTTCCTTCATCTCTCTCTCTCCATTCGGGGTTTGGAGCATACACACACGTGTTTGGCATGTTTTTCAAACTGCCGGGTCCTGTACTCAAATCACTCAGTCAGCTACGTAGCATCCAGATCCCTTAGCCATCAGGCCATGGAGATGGCCTGGTATCTCTTATCTGAAATGCTCGAGACCAGAAGTAATTGGTATTTTTTTCAGATTCTGGAGTATTTGTACATACATAATGAGACGTATTGATGATGAAAGCCTCAATATAAATTTACGTTTCATACACATCTTGTATACAATGCCCAAAGGTAATTTGATACGATATTTTTATTGTAGCATTTTGACTCCAGGGTATAACATGAGGTCAGATGTAGAATTTTCCAATTGTGGCATATTGGTACTTATAAAATTTCAGATTTTTGGGCATTTTGGATTCTGGATTTTTTAAAATTAGGAATGGTCAACCCATATCTTTATGATCATTGTTCTTTATATAATTCGTAAACATTTTTAGAACAAAATAGAATGACTTTAGAGGTTTTTGATGGTTACCTCTCTTACTAGTTTTCATGTACATTATTATTATCAAGATAAAAAGAGAGTTTGAAATCATTTCTTAATATTTTCATTTTTTTCATCATGTGGAAAAGATCATCACTTTTAATAGGAAGTGGTGCAATTGTGTAAGATTTGAGTTAAAACAGCTTGTACCTGAATACCGTATGATGGGATGTGATATTTTTATAATGCCAAACTATTTAAAATATTTGGTACAAACACCAGAGTAAATAACAACCTCTCAGGGTGCGTGTTGAAGTCATTGGTAAACGTATCTTTCAAAACATTATTTCCGGTTCATATTTAACAGAATCACACTTGATGTATTGACATACCCTCGTTTGATCGGTGTTTTCCCCCACCTCTAGATTCTATGTCTGTCTGGCTGTTTTCAAGTTTAAGGAAGTGGTGGTTTTAGAAGTTACATCTTAGTTATGTGCAAAAAATATTTTTGTGTTGCAGTGTCCCAGGAGCTTTGGCTGACAATTCCAGTTTGCAAACGCAACGTTTTGGCAATGGTGAGGGCTTCGATCCTGTCTCTGATTTGCTGTCAACCATGAACACATGGGTGTGATGCCTGCTTGCTGAAAGGGTGAGTGCATGTCTGGGATTACTCGTCTGAAAAGTCACGAAACAAAATGTCCCGCGGGACGTCCTCTCCTCCTATGGAGGATGAGACATTCTCCCTTTGAAACAAAGGACAAACTCTGACATGGATTTCTGATAGAACCTTTTCAGACAATTCCTGCGATGATCTGACGATTTATAAAAGGCACAGTAGGACACAGAAGAACGGGGCCGGGGGGGTTCAAAAAGTTTATGGAAAACACATATTATGAAAAGTATGTGTAGATGTCAGATTTTTGGATCAACCACGTAAACTCACACCTTCATTTTATTTCTCGACCAACTTTTGAAGTACCTTTGTATTTGCGTCTGTTTGTTTCCGTACCCTATAGGGTAGACTATGTAAATTATAGACTACATGCACAACCGAGTGAGTAATTGCTTTTTTGTTTCCATTGTAATTTGGTGATAATGTTGGACAGCCATGACAAGTGGCAATAATGACTTCATCTTCAATTCTGGAGAAATTTGAGTCGTATCTCTTCTTTAAGAGGGTCCTATCCCAAGTGTTTTACATGGTCAGGGCCCTTGAGAAAGCCAAAGGGTTGGAAACTTTGGATTCTGAACAATCAGAAAGACTCTCAGGCATCTTTTTCCTATCATAGTTTACATCATCGGATTATTTATTGACTTGAGGACATGAGAAAGGATGTAATATTTTTCTGTTTTGTGTGTTTGCCACATTTGATAGCAAATTTCTCCAAAGATCATTGCCTTCTCCACAGTAATAAATAGTTGACTTGCTTTATCCAGGACAATACTTGGTTGTGTCCAGGTGTTTTGGGTGGAAACTCTGACATGGTCCAATGGTAGCCTTGTCATAGCGTGAGGTCAGTTTTATGGGGGACCGCTTAGTTTCCGATTTGCATCAAATGGAATTGAATAGGATAAACAATGGGAAGAAACTCATCTTGTTTGTTTTAGTGGAAGTTATATTCAAAACAGAGTCTATATTTTGGGGAGGGATGTGTAATGAAGCAGAAGGAGCATGTTATTAGAAAGTTGAGATACCTAATAGCTACCTGATACATAGCAAATTAGTCTCTCTTTCACTCTTTTTTTTTTTCTCCCATCTCCTATATTTAAAACAAAGCCTGTAGGTTAGAGAATCCTATTTTATCAGTGCTAATAAGACTCTAGGAGTCATCTGTTTAAATCTTCTTGCTTTACAAATGGGAGGACTGACACCCAAAAAGTTTATGTGGGATGTCTCAGTGCCTGGGCTTAGTCAGAAATGGACCTTAGTTATTTGGTCCTCACTCAGTTGTTCTTTCTAGCTCATTGTTATCCATTCAGCTATTTGGGCCACATTTTAATAGATTTTACATCTGAAGGTCATTTTGATAAATTCTTCTCATTTCACATATTTAAAAAAAAATTGAACCTTAGTGCACCAACTGGCCCAAATTAAATTAGAGCCCTGGTGATCCTCCAAGAACTTGTTGGTTCTAAAATTCCCTTCTGCTTAGGCTGACTTCTTTTTTTTTGGGGGGGGGGAGGTTTTTGCTATAAGGTGTGCGTGCTCACCAGAAAGACAGAGACAGAGAGACAGAAAGTGAGAAATCACCTCCCCAGGTGGGTGAAGAATTTATCAAAATGATCTTCAGGGGGATGGCCATGCTGCATTCCCTTTTCCTCCATTCTCATCTTGTGATCTTGGGCATGCATGCACATACACCTGGCATGAGTTTAAGCCACTAGGTATGGGACTTGAATCACGGTTGGCTACATGGAAGTCCAGTGACATAGCCATTATGCCAACTGCTGGTCCCATGCTTAGGCTAACTTCTTATCTGACTACCTGTACTTTGTATTCCATTCTGCTGAAACTAAAAGTAGAAGAAAAAAGTCAAATCTATCTTTCTCTCAGTATTCTTTCTTTTATTGGCAAGACATAAGGGAATAGTATAGATTAACAAATAGGCAAGAATGTCCACAGTGAAAAGAAAAGTTTAATGGAGTCATGTAATTATAGAGCTATTGGAGATGTTCAGTCATTTTACTGAGGGTTCTTGGGCAAGCCTAAGTACCCCTACGAAATCCTAAGGAGGTTTTCCATTTCTACACAGTCATGATAGACTTTCACACATGGTCTGTAGATAACTGAGCAGATCGCACATGTTAGAAAAATCTTTATTTTTGAGGATTCAGGTTGAGACCAAAACCTGAATCTGTCTGATATACATATGAGTGTATAAAAGATCCTGGAATTTTAAAGGTATTGAAATAGCCACAAAAATCAGGTTTTAGGTTACCTGTCATCTCTGTCTCCAGTATTGAGAGAGTCTGACTCAGTCTCACTATCATAAAATTGATGTATGAAATTTAACAAAACCACATGAATGGATTTATTGAAGAGAGGTTCATTTTATTAATTTCAAGTGAATAAGGCGCACGTTTGAAACATCGATCTAAAGAACTATCAATATAATACAAATGATGATCTCTTTCCAAAAAATGTACTGTGAGGCCCAGTCGAATGCTAGCTTTTTTTTTTTTTTCTAGACAAGGAAGTGCTTCGTATTTATCAAACTGTAATAAACTTCCCTTTGCTGTACTTTTAGTAGAAAGTCAAAGTCCCCAAAATCTTATGTGCTGGAGCATGTGTTCTGATTTTCTGTCCTCTTCCCAGTTTTCCTTCAAGACACACTTCCAAGGTTTACTCAAAGGACTCATTCTCTCCCTCCGTGGTGTAATGGCCTGGCCTTCCATGCGTGGTGCATCTGATAGCTAGTTAGCCTTTTCCATTGTCAAGAATTTATTCACAGTTCTATGCCTTTTAGAACTTTATAGTTTATTGAGTAACCAAAAGAAGTACCGATTAATTATTACAGCTGATAATTTGGAGTCGTTAGGCTTGAAATCAGCTCTAATTCTGAGCGAAGCATTTCATGGTAGAGCTGGGTCAGTCTCCAGAGTTGGCAGCCGGAACAACACCTCACCTCACTCAAATGCAGAGAAATGAAACCATGAGATTAAAGCTTTGCACACATAGATCATTATGACAAGTTTTTTTGTTTTTTTTTTAAGGTCAGAACTAGGTAATGTTCTCGATTTATGTTGGTGATAACCGTGCGTGCGTAATACATGAACTTAGGGGCAGGGTACGGGGGAGGAAGGACTGAGTGCGTCAGGTCAGTGCTGTGGCTCTTCACGGCAGCAGGATCGGCGTTGGCTCCTGTTTCTGGGCACGGGGCTTTCGTTGATATTGGTACCTATACGATGCATGTCACGAGACTCCAGGAGTGAAAAGTGGCGAAGTCTGCTGCATATTTAATAGGCAGTTAGCCACAGTGTTATTAATAAACGTGATAATAACAGTCTGGATTTGCATAGAGTTCTCCTGAGAAGAGCTGATGGCTGATGTACTGGCTTGTCTGTCAGTGTCTGCTTTGACATCACATTGTCCCCACCAACACGGCGTCCCTCGCTGGTGGGTCTGGTGAAGGTGTAAGCGTCATGAGACCTCCTTCTGTCTTATTTCCCGCCGTTCCTCCTTTAGTCTCTCTTATGAGTAACTTTCTAGCTTTTGACGCACTAAGAAGGAAAAACATGGGACATGACGCGCTTCTCACTGAAGACCTGGCCGTGGACTCCTTTTTGGCTGGGAGTTCCAGTTTCTTGCTCTTTAAAGTCAATCTCGAGAATATATGTTTTTATTTTTTATTTTTTATTTTTTATTTTTTATTTTTTATTTTTTATTTTTTATTTTTTATTTTTTATTTTTTATTTTTTATTTTTTATTTTTTATTTTTTATTTTTTATTTTTTATTTTTTATTTTTTATTTTTTATTTTTTATTTTTTATTTTTTATTTTTTATTTTTTATTTTTTATTTTTTATTTTTTATTTTTTATTTTTTATTTTTTATTTTTTATTTTTTATTTTTTATTTTTTATTTTTTATTTTTTATTTTTTATTTTTTATTTTTTATTTTTTATTTTTTATTTTTTATTTTTTATTTTTTATTTTTTATTTTTTATTTTTTATTTTTTATTTTTTATTTTTTATTTTTTATTTTTTATTTTTTATTTTTTATTTTTTATTTTTTATTTTTTATTTTTTATTTTTTATTTTTTATTTTTTATTTTTTATTTTTTATTTTTTGCTTTTTGTTTCGGTCAGTGGTTTTGTGTTGGAGGGGTGGCCGTGCAGTTTCTGGGAGATGGTGAGTGCCGCGGGCAGGTGCTCTGGGACAGGCATGCTGGCCACAGACTTTCCTGCTTGGTGGTGCTACAGCCTCTGAGTGGGCCCAGCCACTTTGTTGTGTTTCGACTTCCAGTCCCTGAAATTTTGACTTTGAAAAGCAATTTTAACAATTTAATAAACTACATAATGCGTTTTATAAGCTGGAGCGAATGATCTTAAGTATTTTGGTCTCTTTCATAACACAATGAACCTAATATTGGTAAAAATACAGATCTTCACTCCTACCATAAAGAGAGGCTAGATTTAATAAGCAGTTATGAGCGCTGGCAGCTGCCTATCAGATTGTATGACTTGGGCGCCAGCACGCGAAGACAGTGTCAACTTACATTTTCTCTCCGAAGTGTTTCCGAGGCGTTGATTTTCCCTCTCTCTCCAGCCCCTAACCTAATCCAAGTAATGTAATTGGCTGAATATTTTCCACATAGCTAATTGGCTAGGGGCCAATGGCAGAAACCATTGTCTGGCTTGATGAAGATCAGAAATTTACGTGACATTTACGTGGAGGTAATGGAATATATCAGTAATGCCGTAATTCAGGACGGTGAGAGAGTGTGTCCATCCTTTCCCGCTCATAAGCCGCAGGAGTTCTAAGATGATGACAGACCCTCCACCACCCTCCCCAACCTCCTAGTACCTCCTAGCAGCGGCCAGCCAATCTCTGTGTCAAATTTACTTTTTAATTCTTTGGGCTGAACTGTTAGACACACCAATGAACGCTTCTGTTTGTCAACTTAAAGAGAAAATCTACCAGCTCTTA